TAAAAAATACCTCGCAGCAGACATACTACAAATACTCTGGTGAAAATATCACAACTACATGCTACCCCCACGGGGTTTACCTCCAAATGCTGAAATCAGAATCTCGTTATGTCTTTCGCTCCACACGGAAAGCGGAAATAATGTAACTCTCGTCACAGAAAGTGACATCTCAATCACCAGCCGATCACTCAACCCAGATCGCAATCCTCCACAAAGCATCATCTCCACTTTCATTGAGTCCTGCGACTCTAACTGAAACCTCATCAGTCAAACTCCTCGGAATTTAAACTCAATTCCCCTCGCAAGGTACACTATATTGAAGATCCACTGACATGGCCCTTTGGCCCCATAGTTAACCATATCCATTCTCAGTTCTGAACACCCATCGTCGGATAACTAGTACAGACGGAAGCACCCTCTGCTATAAATTATGGTACCCGAACCATGTTATCTCCCCTCAATCTGCTATTTAGAACCTCTGGAATTCTCCTTGTTTCGAGTATGGGACCTCCGCTTTCAGTAGTACAGGCCCATACTACCTGCCACATCTACCCATACTTTCCATACGGATCGTACCAGATTTCCTAAGTAGCTGCTCAACCTTCTCGATCACCAATCCCATTACTCGTGTTCGCTCTCTAGCGAATGCTCACCTCTAAACAACATACTCATCAGACTAAAATCACTCCATAGGCTCTCTTAGGTCCTCACACTTCTCTGCCATCAGCTGCTGAGAACTCCTCATGATGTCGGCCATCTACCTCTTGAATATCGTCATATTCACTTAGTAGTTGACTCCCATCATTCAATAGTTCCACAAGGCACAAAGCAAGCAACATTTGGGCATCGAATAATCTCCACCAACACATATAACTACTCTAAGATACAACTCCACTTGCTCTATCCATAACTCAAAAAGGCATCACAGAACTCTAGTACCTCTTGTAGATATCTAACTATTCTCTCAGCAGATTCCTCAAATGCACATCTAGGTATCTCTTCTAAATTACTCCGCTACTCAAAGCTCTATCTAAAAGATTCTTGTTAGGTACTCCCACTCAGCACATACATAGAGCAAATATCAGATAATAGCAATCAATAGCATCCCCAAGGCTAAGGCATCACGAATCAGGCAACTCTAGCTCTAGCTTCTTGAAATACCTATCCTATCCTCTAGCATGCAGTTCTAGAATCTCATATGTATATGTATCTCATAATATAAAAAAGTAATGGTATTTTGGGAAATCATCGTTCGGGCTCTGGCTGATTGTACACACTACTCCGTCTCATTTTCTCTTAAAAACTCTTACTCGTTTTAGAAAAATCATTTCTCTTTAGAAAATGTTCTCAAATCCTCAGTTTGAGTCCAGACATATCCGAGAGTACATCCGAATCTCTCAAACCAAGGCTCTGATACCAACTTGTAACGCTCTGAATTTTTCAAATAAAATTTTCATTTTTAAAGCGCATAAAACTCAATATTACATTTCTCAAGAACCCAAGTGTATAAATTATTCAAACACAAGATCACGAATGTATGATAATATCCCAGAATCCTCAAAACATAATCTCAAACTGGTGTGTACAATTGAGCCTTCGTCGTCCCGAAATCTACAAGAGTACTTGAAACACATTTCACACAACACAGTAAGCACGAAGCTTAGTGAGTTCCCTAAAATACCACACACAAATAATCAGTCTTTCATGGCTATATCTCGATAGGACCCTCCGGTCATGTGTCTCAGTGAGGAACCTCCGGTCTCACAGCTCGGGTTGGACCCTCTGGTCCTATCTTAATAATGCACAGGATAATATACAACATAAATCACAAGACATAATTCATCATATCACATATCTCAGTATACCACATAAGATCAACATATACATAGAATAATATAACAACATAAGTCACAAAGACAGTATGCATGATAACGCATGTCACGCTATAAACAAATAAGACCCTCTGGTCAATAATATACTAAGACCCTCCAGTCAATACAATACTAAGACCCACCAGTCGGTAACACAGATAAGACCCTCCGGTCAACAGTGCAAATGAGACCCTCTGGTCAATAACACGAATAAGACCCTCCGGTCGCACATAAATTACCACACAGGTAAGTATAGTGAGAAGACTCACCTCGCAGAGTAAAGCAATGTATTCCACACTCGAGCTGCTGGTCTAATCTCCGTCCCTCCATAGTCTCCAAAATCCACAGTTGACCAAGACCCTAAAATAAATGGAAGTCAACACTCAAGACTGACCCAACTCTAAAAGTCAACGAAAGTCAACACTCAAGTCAACAACCCATGTTGACTCAACTCGCCGAGTATAGTTCATGAACTCGTCGAGTTCCTTTGAACTCAGTAAATCGCGAAAACCCGAGTCGACTCGCCGAGTTGCTAGCCAACTCGTCGAGTCCATGCAACATCCAGAAGATCAGGAAAAACCCTAACAACTCGTCGATTTATCCCATCAACTCGCCGACTTCACTCTAAATCCAAGGACGGGTAAAACCCTCTCAACTCGTCGAGTTGTCTCACCAACTCGCCGAGTCTACAACGCGTCCAAATCGAACGGGCTAAACCCTAACCAACTCGCCGAGTTGGCTCATCAACTCGTCGAGTCCCTTAAGTCTATTTTCTCATTCAGACGATTTAAGGCAGAACTGATGTCTCATACCGTGGATCTAACCTTCTAAGGCTCACTTATCATGTAAAGTTGTAAGCTTTACGTCGTTGCATGGCATATAGGGCTCAAAATGCCAAAATAAGCTCCATAAAAGGGATTGTTGCACGGAGGCCTGCCCAAAGCTTGATAAAGCTCGAATCTTTGGGCTCATGGGACCTAAATATGTCCAGATCTGGAGTCTCAACTCCATGACAAGCTCATAACACTCTAGAACTCCAAGAAGGGTAGGAAAAAGGCTCTAATTTCTGTAAGAACGAGATCTAACCAAAACAATGAGCAAGATGATGACTTTTTTCCTTCAGACGAAAGCTAGGGACGAATGAACACCAGATCCAAAAGCTTCTTCCCGCCCAAGGTCTTTTGCTCTTCAACTTTCCTCCAAGAATGCACTAAAACTCACATTATTAACCTCTCTTTCTCACACACAAGGTAATAGCTCGATTAGGGTTTCACACAGGGTGTCTAAACGAATAGGGAGGCGGAAATGAGGGCATAAGGTCCTTTAAATAGGATGCAAGCCCTAAAATTAGGGTTTTCTCAACATAGACTCAACTCCTCGAGTTGGTCCTTCAACCTGCCGAGTTGATCACTAAACCCGCACGGCTAAAATCCATATCTACTCGACGAGTTGATCCTCCAACTCGTCGAGTTGCTCAGACAACAAGCAAGAAACTCAATTAAATATAATACATGGGAGTCGGGATGTTACAACACTTCTAAAAGTGCTTAAGCTCTTACTTGCCAAAACAACTCTTGTTTGCAAAATGACTTCAAAGATCCATGGATTGTAGAGATTGTTGCACTTAAACCGTTAAGATTATAATTAAGCCCAAAAACTAAGAGTAAAAGCACAACGTTAGGATCATAGTTTCAAATGGTTAAATAATCTTCAAATTGGTCATTTCTTCAATTTTTTACATTTAAAAAAATAAATTCAATTGGTCTAACTAATTTATTACAAAAAATAAACAAATGAAAAAAATACATGTTTATCTAGTACATATTACCAATAAATAAATAATCAACCAACACAACATAATTTTCCAAATGACTTGTTTATACAAAACAACATATCAAATATAATAACAAATAAATTTTTTTCTAAGACAATTTTATACAACCAAAATGCATGAAAAACTTGGTTACATAAAAATAACAATTATAAAAACAAGTTGCCAAAGAAAATATATTTGGTGATTTTTTTTCCAAAATAAATGTCAAACATATTTTCCAAAACCATAGGTTATCAAACACTTAAATAAATCTTTCTAAACATGTATAAGAGGCTCTGATACCACTAATGAGTTTTGATAACAAAAATAATCTTTTTTATAAAAACAATTTTAGCGGAAAATGAAAGAATTTTAAAATAACTAGTTTATTTTCATATCATTTTAACAAAACTACCTAGAGGATCCAAATACATAAACTAGAAAGCTAATAACATCCATATGATGTTTGAGATCATTTTTAGACTTTTAAAATAACTACTTTATGATTGTTGTTGCTGATTAACGAATATAACACACTAACATGTGCATTTTGAATGACTAAATTTGTTACTTTACATTAATGCATTGCAAAATTTGATTTATGTTTTGAGTGATTTCCCTAAATTATTGTTCCCTCTAGTTTATGTAATTGTGTTCTTTTTTTGTGGCATATGCTTAGTTGATTAGAACAATGTTTATGACTTTTGTATTGTTGTTAATGTTATATATATATATATATATATATATATATATATATATATATATATATATATATATATATATATAGAGAGAGAGAGAGAGAGCTAGGTTCATTTGTTTAAAGTAAATATTGTGTTATTGTATGCATAAATGTGGGCCAATCAAAATTAAACAAAAAATTAAATAATTAAATAAATAAATAAGGGTAATTTAGTAATTTGTTTAGTAACTTCCAAAATTAATCGCTATAATCTTGGTATTGACCTAATCTCTCCAATTTAAATCTCGGTCCCGATCTGCAAAATTAGAATGGACTACAAAATCGATCTTGAGTTCTACAAAAATTGATTGTCATCGCCATCTCCAACTCTAGCACGTCGACCGACTATCAGATTCGTGATTAATGATTTATAAATATGTCGGATTGGCCGCCTCTCTCTCTCAATCGCTCATCTCTCGGCCACAATCGAAAGCCCTTTCCTCCAAGCAAACAAAACAACACATCACACGATTAGAGAGTCGTAAACGAGTTTCCTCGTCGTTATCTCATTCGTCGAAGAAGACAGGTGCCAAATCACACACACAGAGATACACACACACACTTTAAGCTTTCTACAATGGACGCAATCGATCCAACTCGCGGATTTCTTAAAGATGTTAAGCGTATCGTTATCAAGGTGAATGGTTGATTACACTCAGTTTAATCGTATTGATTACTAGTTCCAACTTTTTTGTTACTTTGATCCCCAAATTATTTGATTTCCGGTATTGCATGTGGCATTCACGAATTTTGAATTTTTGTTTTATTTGTTTGGTTGATTTTGTGCGTGTTTGATCATGCATAGTTTTGATTCTATTGATTGGAAATTGAACGGCGTGTTCTTCGTTATAGGGGCAAAGGTTGATGATGATGGGAACAGCAGATGAGATTGTGAACGCCCCTGAAAAGAGTCCAGTTTTTATGGAAGACCTTCCAGAAGCAGAACAAGTAGTTGTTGTGGTAGGGTTCTTGACTTATTTTCAAATTCTCTTAAAGTTACAGATTGAATTTTATTGCCAATTTGTCATAATGTTTTATTAGGGTCATTCTGCTGGATTATTCAATTTGGGAAATACCTGTTACATGAACTCCACAGTCCAATGCTTGCATTCGGTTCCTGAGCTCAAATCTGCATTAATTGAGTGAGATTTCTTATTTCTTTTTGTGTTAGTAATGTTGAATTGTATTTTAATCCATTGAATGTTTTTGAACACTGATTTATTGCTCAGGTATCCTCAATCTGGAAGAAGCAATGATTTAGATCAGTCTTCTCATCTTTTGACTGTTGCAACAAGAGACTTGTTTAGCGAGCTTGATAAAAATGTTAAGCCAGTTGCACCAATGCAGTTCTGGATGGTACTATTTTTTCTCAATAACTCTTACAATTTTTATTTTTGTTACAATACAATAAATATGTAATTAACATTATGTAATGAAGTTATATATGTTATAATTTCATAGGTATTGCGGAAAAAATATCCTCAGTTTGGCCAGCTGCATAATGGGTCCTTTATGCAACAGGTTTCTTTTATTTTCATTCATTATTTCTATCACATTCACTACTTAAAATTTTTTATTTTATATATTTGACACGAGTTTTGATTACATCAGGATGCTGAAGAATGCTGGACACAGATTTTGTATACTCTATCCCAGATTTTATTTTCATTCATTATTTCTGTTGGAATGGAATCATGAATTCCAATTCTGTTGGAATGGAATCATGAATTCCAATTCTGTTGGAATTTAAACTACAATTTGGTTTTGTTTTGACAGAAGTTGATGCTTGAAGAACGCACCACGAAATTTGAACGACGCCTCTTAGCAACATTATTCTTTTAGAATAAATTAGTGTATTTGTTAGATTTTGATGTTTTTTTTTTCGATTTGAAAGTTTTTTAGTTTTATTCATTAACAATAAATGTAATTCTTAGCAATTGTTACATGTATTCTATAAGAATTAATATATTTTTTGTTTTAATTCTTCAGTTGCTTGTTCGAGAATTTGTTATTCCACAAGAAAAATATGTTCAAGAATATTTTTATTATTTTATGGTTCAAGAATTTTTTTATTTTTGAATATATTCAAACATATTCTGTCAGAATGTCCGAATTAAAAACCTAATAATTCTTAAAATCAGATTTTTAAAATTAATAGAATCTATGATCCCTTAAAATATGCAAACTTCCTTTATTAAATCTATGTTAATTGACTAAAATACCCTTCTAGTTAAATTAGATGGTATTTTTCGATTATTTTTAATTCAAACATATGTATTAATCACTTTTTTAAAATAAGTAAAATGATTGGCTCATATTTATGCATACAATAACACAATAATTAGTTTTAATAGAATAACCTAGGCCTATATATATATATATATATATATATATATATATATATATATATATATATATATATATGTGTGTGTGTGTGTGTGTGTGTGTGTGTGTGTGTGTGTGAAGTTATGCCTCCTAGTCATCTATCATGTACTTAAAAATATAAAAAAACGAATAATAGATGAAGAGTTAAGAAAGTCTCAAAGTGGAGCCTTTGATAAGATTATCCAAAAAAACCGCAAATTTCTTCTAAGAATCAAAACATTGTCAATGATAACTATTGAGAGCTATATATTGGAAAATTTTGATTATGAAGAGCTGGTGCCTAACCTTACTTCAAGAATGCTGGGAGAGTATCACGATACATATAGCTATGTAAGAGTATATATAATATTAGCGTTTCTTTCTTGTTTTGATTGTTTTTATAGCAGTTATCCACTTATTGTAGTATTAACGAAATTTGTTTATATATAAAAAAAAATTATATTTACTTCCCTTTCTTATTTTTGGTGTAGAGCCTTTAAAATCAAACAGGATGCCTATGAAATATGTTGTCATGTCATGTTCATATTTTGACATAAATTGAGACCATATTAATTTGTGTTTTTCCGTGTTTTGTATGAAGATATATAAGTAAATAAGTAGTTATTTTATGTTGTCTTTTCTAATCATGTCATTTTCTGGTAAAAACAAAAAAGAATAGGACGTGTTGTGTGGTGTTGATGTTATTCAAAATTTATGTTGTCGTATAAAAAGGAGTAAATTAAATGAATCATGGTAATTTGTATATTTTGTTTCTAACTATTTTTTTCACTTACATATGGTTTGTATTTATTTTGATTTTGATACCAAAATGGTTTGAAAAGACTATATTGTTCTTAATATATATATATATATATATATATATATATATATATATATATATATATATATATTTGCTATTTTCTAATTCTTTTAATGACTCTACAATTCCTTCTATGAGTACTAAATGGATACAAGTTATATAAAATTTAGAGTAAACAGACAATCGATTGTGTGAATCTGCCATAAGCCCATAACCAAACAAGGAACAGGGAATTAGGCGGAAGTCACACATCTCATTGCTTGTTAGATCTTCACTGTATATAACCCTTGCGTATTCATTTGGTACTTACGGTGTTAACTGTAATAGTTCTTTATATTTGATGAAAACATTCTTTAAGAAAATCATATATTTCCTTTAGTAATCACTTAGTTTATACTAGCTATATATAATCTAATATCGAACGGACAGTTAAATGTATGAATCTGCCCTAAGTCCACAACCAAACAAGGAACAGAAATGAGGCGGAAAGCACACATCCAATTGCCTGTCGGATATTAATTATATATAACCCTGATGTATAAACTAAGGTATTTTAGTATTAACTACTAAAGGTCGTTTAAGTTATACTGGTTTAATAAGAAGTATTAACCCCCTTTTATAAATACGTTTCTAGTTTCACTAACTCAATTGTGAAACGTTGTTTTTGGTAAAATGCTATTGTTTTCAGAAAGTACAATCAAAACTGTTTACCTTAAAAGAATGATGTTTACCATAGAAAATCCTATATTTTCTATAAAAACCGACTGGATGTCCATGTTGTTCTAAGTTTGAAAAGCACAAGTATACTCCCTATACTTACTACAATGATGTATAGTTTTATTGATATGTTAAACTGAATAAAGACTTGGTTGTTCTGGATACCTGATACAACGATACTACCCTCGTATGATTACCTAATACATACGAGTTGCATATAACCGAGATCGAATAGACAGTTGAATGGGCGAATCTGCCCTAAGCCCACAACCAAACAAGGAACTAGAAATGAGGCGGAAGTCACACATTCCACTGTCTATCGGACTTCAGTTCTATCTAACCCTAAGTATACATTGGGTAATCACATAGTTAGTGTCCTTTGAGATTTGTTCATGAAAAGTTTATTACTACGTAAATATATCGTTGTTATCTATTTGTGAGTTTTACGACCATACTAATTAGACCGTTTAACCCCGACGTATTGTAGACGTCGAAAAGAATATGACATTTGTCACCCGCAGACCTGCCGGTCCGGCTGTAGCTAACAGCGATGTGCAGGATTGTCAATCCCGTATATATCTATACACAAACTCACGCTCTCCCTCCACTAGACTCTGGTCGTAAGGGTAGACTTTCGCTGGTACTTGTATGAGTACTAGAAGACGTGTATCACAAGCTGGATTAACGACTTTACAAGTAATAATGTGGAAAACCCTTTTTATATTTAAACAGATAAGTTCATTAAAAGATCCTTTTGTTCTTTAAGTTAAGCTTATTAAAGTTTATAAGCTTATTTCTATGTTCTATTCACAGTTTCATGTTCTACATACAGTTTATTGGTACAAAGACATAATAAGCAGTTTATATTTTAAAACACAACATTTCTTGTATTTTACTTGTATCCCCCCCCCCCTTAAAAGCATTTAAAACCATTTAAAAGATTGATTATGGGGGTATGAACTCACCTTATGTGGGTGATTCAATTGAAGATTCGAGTAAGGATGAGAAGTTCCACGAATGAAGTCCCGAGGCACAAACGAGTCCTAATTGACATATATTGATACATATATGTATATAATTAGTGTCTAGAACAAATAACATGAAGGGAAACAACCTTAGGAACTAGGAAACACTTGATATGAAGTGTTAGAGTCACATGTGAATGATCACAAGGAGTTCACGGCCAAGATCTAGGAGTTCACGGCCATGGGAGGGTTGACGGCCCCAAGAAGGGTTTACGGCCGTAAACTCTTGAAGTTTATGCACAAAGTGGTTGTTTCTTGGTTGCTAATCAAGTGCTTCTAATGGATAACAAGTATATGGAAGAGATACTTACGTTTTGGAAGCTTATAGGGTGATTACGGCCCAAATAACAAATGTGTGTTCTTGGTGTTCTTGGTGATTTGAAGATCTAAACCCAAAAGAGTTGAATTCATGGATGAAATCAAAGGGTTTCATTTGAATAAGAAGGATATCAGGTAAGAATGGAAGAATCACTTACACTTTTGAAGATCAAGAAGAATATCCTTGATGATACTTCAGAGAGAAATGAGAGTTCTTGACTTGGAGTTGTGAGAAATGAAGAAAAATGAAGGATCTTCATACATATGAAGAGGGGTTCACGACCAAGCTTGGGTTTACGGCCGTAAACCCTAGTTTGCGGCCGTGAACTCCTTGTGAAGGTGTTTTCGGCTCGAATTCAACTCAGTGATCTCAAGTTAATACTTCCTAATACACAAACCTTGAGTGTACTAGGCAATAGAAACAAGTCTGACTTTTGGTTGATTGGATTGACTTACAAGGTAGAAATTTTCAGGTTGTCACACAAATGCTCTGAAACCTACCTAACAAATGCTCTAAAACCTGCTTACAAGACATATGCTCTAAAAAAACCAATCCTTTGAAATATGCATACAAGACGGAAGGGAAAAGTGAAAACAATGGTTGCAATAAAGAACGACAATGAAGGCAGCGAGAATCTGCATAGTGTAGGTAGGGTTTTAATTTGGGGGTAGGGTGCGTGGAGTTTCAGGCTTATTTACTTATTTATTTTTTATTAAATTTAAATTAATTAAAAAGGATAAAAAAATCTACAAGAAACTAAATATGGTAGAAAAGTCATCTTATGTGGTTGTAGACCAATCACACAAGTTTTAGAAACCACAATAACTATGTTTGCCAAAACAAATTAACATTTCATTAAATTTGTAAGTTTTGGTAAACTATAAGGACCATTCATGTAATTTCGTCTTTTATTAGAAAATGAAGGTTTCTTTTGTCACTTGTTACACTCTCATTCAATTTGACAAATGTCAGTTTGTGGTTATTTTGAATTAATTTTTTTTTTCACTTGTCATTTTATGAGTTTTTCTAATTTATTAAATTCCACATAATATTTTAATTTAATAATTGCAATAAATGAAGTAATAAATGAATATTAATTTCACTAATAAACTTATCTTTCAATTTCAAAATTCATAAAATTAAAGTTCATTAGTTTTTTTTCTTTATTTAAATTATTTTTTTAAATTAAAAAAATAAAAACTCATTTCCATTATAATAAATTATTATTTTTCTTATTTTCTTATAAATTTAAAATTCTCAAATATTTTGATCTTTATATTAACTTTTTTTTTAAAATTAACTCATGTAATACATGGATCTCACAACTAATATATAACTAAAGAGAATATATATGAGGTCATCTGTTTTCGTTCGGTTTTCTTCCTAGATTTGTTCTTTTAAATTAAAAAATTTCAACCGCTCAATTAAAGAACATTTTCTATTGATTAATAAAATATTCATAAATTAACTAGTCAATATTATGATTAGTGGTTGTGGTAATTCCGGTTGAGTCCTTGTATGTTAATCGTTTTTATATCTGAATTTGTGTTTTAATATGTTTGGTTAATTTCTGTAAAAATCCATATAGAATCACATATCTTAACAAACACATGATTTTTTTTTTCTTTTTTTTTACGATGGATATTTATTAGATCAGCAACATTTCAATTAGATTAAAAGTGGAGACATGTTTTTTTTAGAACGATATAATTTATATAGAGAAATAATCAAGCATAAAACTGGAAGAATACAAGATACAAGAAAAAAAGGAAAAACACCTCCATACAAATACCTCTAGCTCCCAAAGCCTATCACCACACTTCTCTAATGTTTATTAGAGCAACGTACATTGCTACTTAGATACCTAGCTAAATGACATGCAAACAACAACTTGAAACTACAATGCATAGCATTCAAACTTAAAAACACCAAACCAAATACGCTTGAAAATGAAAGGTGATTAACCCACTTTGGGCACTTCTTTGACAATGTGGTTATCATCAACGAAAATCCTAACCCTGTCACATCGGATGTCAGTGCTCACAGAACTTCCTTCTTCGACAATGACGGCATCCACATTCACATTTTGTCTCTCGATTATGATTGTTGCAGCTTGACCTGATGTCCCGACCAGTTCAGGCCATGACTTCTTGCCCTTAACTACAATTCAAAAATTATATATTTAACCGATGATATATACCAAAAAATTATTGAAAATCATCTTACGGATTTATTGTATAGGTAAACCCTTGAGTGGGAGTGTGTAAAAGAGTGATTAGGACATGATGAACATGTTCCATACAAACCGGAAATCATGTTCTAAAACAATATTCAAATGTTTTTAGTACCTCATTAAGTGTATGTAATATAAACTCCAATTTATGAATCATAAATTGTGACACAAAAAGTATTTAAATAAATTTAATTGTACTATATACATGGATATTAATAATACATTGCCATTCTTAAGGGAAAATTCTGTAAAAAATCAACAGGTATTAAAATTCTTACTGTTGCTGCAGCTAGCCATTGTCTAATTCTTATTGAAATAGCTTCTTGAATGGATGAGAAATTCAGAACAACATTTAAGAATATATATACAGGAAGGGGTATAAGCTTGATCATAATATGCCATTTTTGTTTGGGTTATCTAGTTGTTTTTTAGCTATTGTTATTTTTACATCAAAGTATCAGATTTTAAGATAAACAAACATAGAAGGGTATAACATGTTCACATTAAATCATAAAAACGGTGAACCATATATATATATATATATATATATATATATATATATATATATATATATATAGGTTCAAATGTGGATTGTCATTTATTGTGCGGACGCGTAGACAATGCTATTCTATAAAAATGACAAAGAAAAATATGTTGTTTGATAATGTAAATACGTTCATTTTTACACAACTATTGTCATTATTACGCATTCTCGCTAATTAAATCGTCTATAAGCTTATTGTAGACTTTTTTTTATTATTCTCATTCTGTCATAATGTTATCAAAATGTTTATTTAGTCGTATTCTGTAAGAATGAAAAATGCGTGAAAAACGATGCATGAGAACAAAAATAAATAAAAATTAGCAAGAATGCATGAAAATGACAATATTAGTGTGAGTTTGAACGTATTCACATTACTAAAGTACCTATTCTCTTAGAAATGTTCATAGAATAAAATTGTCCACACGTCCGCACAATAGTTGTCTATCCACATTTTATATATATATATATATATATATATATATATATATATATATATATATATATATATATATATATATATATATATATATATAGTTGTGCGGCTAATGGTTACAACCGCAATATAGACATTTTAGACTAGGTTATGTGTCTCTCTGTCTCTCTTTTGTACTCGTCTTGTTTGTTTGATTTATTATAGAATTTTTTATATGTACATTACTATACTAAAACAAATGAAGTTAACAATATTGTATTAATTTCTGAATTTTTTTATAGTAATGAGCACAATGTTTATGTTGACAATGTCATAGCACTTTGTTTCTACGGACCTGTTGAAAGATTCAAATTGCTTTCCTTTATTTTATAAAAAAAATATTTATCTTCAAGGGAAAAAGTAATATGGTAATAAAGATTACCAAGCATATATACATTTATTAAATGATGATAGGTTATTCTATCGTAAATTATGCTAAGCAACAGAGTTTATAAATTAATCAGATAAAATATATATGAAAGCAAAAACAACTTTAATGTTTAGCAAGCATACATTTACATATATGGTATTATGCTATTCAATCATAATTATAATTCACAACTTTAGCGCTTAAATTAATAGAATAAAATATAGAAGAAATTAAACTGTAATTTTTTAACCCGAAATGTCTGGTAACTATTAATTTAATTAGCCTCTGTTTCCTTCTATAATACCCAACACAAAAGTTATTACCTAAACGACTGCTGATTTTCTACAAACACAAATGACCACATCGTTTGCATCAAAAATAAATATTTTAATATAAAAATAGTTTTTTTTTTTATTGAAGAGAATATTTTTTTAACCGGTAGATAACTATTTTTCTTTTTGCGCAAACCATTAAACTATTGGTGTTTATCAGATTTGATAACTATTTTTCTTTTTGGGCAAACCATTAAATTCGTTTATAGCATGTCAATAAAATTATTTTACTCAAGAGTATACTGTAACAAGGTGACGTGACATTAATAATTAATTTTCTTTACTATTTGGTAGCCATGTCATTTAATCCATTTGGATAACAATTTGTTTTTTTATTTTTTGAAATTTAAAAAAAAATGTAATTAACCCTAGATATCATCCTGTTAGTCATCGTCGGAATTTCCAATATTATGAACATATGAGTTCAAATTGTACAAAGGTTTATAAGACCCATTTGAAAGACTAACACCATTAATAGAATAATCGTTCAAACTCAAACTAAGAAGAGGCCTTTCATCATTTTCCCGGCGTTCATCCTAGTCTCTTGTATCTTGTATAACAACAAAACTCAATCCAGAAAAAACATCTTGCTACAATAACAACCACCACAATAATAATATTGTTGTAAGTAATATCATTCTTCCCATTATTCAAGAGTGTGTTACCAAAAGAATCTACCAGTGATGCTTGCTAGTTTTACCGGAACTAGGGTCAAGAGGCTCTACCAAAAAAAAGAAAAATGATGGAATCCAAGGTCTCCTGAAAATTGGAGCTTCTAGTGAAGAAGACGGATTCAAAGAAAGGGAATTTGCCTCTCGAGAATAATTATCTTCTCCTGATCTAGGGAAAGCATGGGTCTTCAAATTCAGTTGGTCTAGAATTGTCTTTCTGACTTAACATCAAGAATAGCTAACGATTTCATAATCTTGTCAAGTTCTAGGGTTTTAGATTTGCTACTAAATTGAAGATCTTGAAAACTTCAATTATACATCAATTTCATTCCATAGTTTTCCCAAACGAGTTCCGCATGCAACCAGTCAACTTTATCATATGTTAATCACCATAAATTAAGATTATGAACACCAAAATAGAGTAAAAATGAATCGGGAATTGCAAATCGATTGAAAAAGCCGTTTATGATTTCCGTTTTGTTGCTATTTTTAATTTGGGGTTGGAAAGAATGTAGATCATGATGACATGCTAATTTGTATGACTTTTGTAACATAAACAGACATCATGAACTCGATGAGAAGGCCTCGACAATGGTTTGTAAAGGAGTCGTCGGAGATGGTTGCAAATAAAGGTCGTTAGTGCTTGTCACAACCAGCAAGTTAGGGTTAGGATTTAGACTTCTTGTACGAAACCATTCCTTCTATGTAACCCTACTTCATCAAGATAGTAAGATTCAAACTATAATGCAATTTAAGTTCCTACGTTCATACATTGTAATTCAAGTCGGTACAACCTCGTATAAGCCCAAAACTCAATCTAATAGCCAAGACCCATCAATTTTGGGCCTGAGCTCAAGCATTCTCCGCCCAAAACCCATTTTGGACTAAGACTTCTTCATTAGGCCCTATTGGGCCGATAACTTCTTCCTTTGGTCTTTTTGGGTCGAAAACCTATCTTTGGGCCTTAATGGGCCGAAAACTTCTATTGGGCTCTATATTGGGCCGAAAACCTTCTATTGAGCATTAGTGGGCCGAAAACCACTATTGGGCCTCCCATTGGGCCGAAAGCTTTTAATTGGCTTTCTTTGGGCCGAAAACTCATTAATTGGACCGAAAACCTTTCATTGAATATTAGTGGGCCGAGAACTCTTTTGGACCAAGCCAAAATCAAAGCCCACTATCCTTTTTTTAGGCCACCCTTGGGCCGAAAACCCTTCGTGGGTCGGTTGGCTTAGGCCAAAAAAAAAGAAAAAAAGGAGAAAAGTAATGGATATTAGCCATGCCACCTCTTTATTGTCTATCATGCTTCAAGGCATTTGACCAGCAAACAACCAAGCACTTCCCATCACCTTTAGAAAGAGTCAACCCCTACTATTTCCCCCCTCCATCTCTTAGTACGGCCGACCCCCCTCCTCCCCACTCTCATTTCAAATTTTTCTTTCAACTCATTTTCCTCTCATTGCTCTCAAGAACAACCTCCATTTTCTCTCAAAAATCTCAAGATCATCACTAAAAAAGTTCGACTCTAGGCTCCTTGGTAAGTTCTATGTTAAAGTCAAAGTGTTTTGTTTCATGTTTATGCCAAGATCATTCCTCTCACACTCTCATTTTCGTGTTTATGACCCCTAGAACACCCCATTTCAAGGATCTCACCAAGAACACAAGTTAGGCTCGAAATTCCTTCTTCTTCTTCTTCTACATCTCGAAAATTCCCAAGCTGAGCTTCATACCCCACTATTTTCGAGTTTTCATTCTTTCTGGGGGGGATTACAAGTCAAGTTTTGTTTAAATCCTTGGTTAATTGCATGCACTTGTATGTTTATGTGACTATGTGTGTTAAATGTGATTACTTCATGCTAACACTCCATGAACTCGAAATTTTTACCAATCTTATGTAGTTAGTATAAAGTTGCCTTTGCATATTTCGTTACATGTTGGAGATGAAATAAGTTCCTAAGTAAAAATGATTTTTGGTTTATGTTAAAAAGAAAATCAAGGAAAAATGTTATAACATATTAGTGTTTTGAAAATTTGTAAAATGGTGAAAATATGAGAGTTACAATAAAGATGGTTAACCTTGAACAAACACATTTTAACACAAAAGTTTGTATAAATATTGAAATATATTAAGTTTAAGGTTTATATGTGTTTGTGGAAAAATCGTGATATGTAAAAGTTATTATTTTGATGGCTTAAAACCAAAGGTAATATATTTTTTACATAATATGTTACATTTATATTAGTTCAATAATGATCATTTATAAAATGAGTTTATAAATAAACTTACGGAAAATGTGAACTAAACAGGATTTTATGACACAACAATTTGTGTGCCATAAGTTGTCTGTCATAAGGACTTTTAAATAAATAAGTAAGCTGTGTGCGTTTATGACAGAAACATAAGCGTGTCACAAGCTGAGTGTCATAAAAACTCGAACAGTATGGAAAAAGAAACTACGTGTCATAAATTCTGTAATACTCATCATAAACTAAATAATATGAACTCAGCCAAATCGCGTGTCATAAAATAGCTGTCACATGTTTACAGAAGAATGGTTATTCTCCTTAAACGATAAAGGAACTCGAAATTCGCGTAAATTCTATTAAGGCTCTTGTGAGACTCTCCTTCACCATACCTACCTAGCATACACCGAAAGTCCTGTAGTTATAACCAGAGTCTTCTGGAGGGAGAGCGGTTAATTGTGTATAGATCTATACGTGGGTTGATACCCCACACCTGAGCTGTTCGCTACAGCTATACGGGCCAGTCTAGGGTGACAAATATCTCATTAAGAACCGACGCCTGAAGAACGTCAAGACAGGCATATAGTCACATTTAGCATGGTTGTAACGACTCACATAGAGAATAACAATGTTATTTTGAATTTACGATGAATTTACACCCCCC